GTGATCTGTAGCCATTAGATTGCCCAGATGTATCAGCTAAAACATCTGAGCCAACGGTAAACTACAAAAGAATTTGTAGCCTCTAGACATGTCATCCTTTGAAAGCATCTTTCTCAGGTTGGAGATGAACATGACTGCAAGTGGGCTATACAGGCATGGCTCCGCAAATGAAAATTAGAGCCATCGCTGAAAAGAAATGTGACATTTCTGCTTTTTGAGGAACAAAGTTATAGGTAAAGTACAGAGTCTCATTTGACGGTCACGTGTCCCAGCCAGAGGCCATCACAAGCATTGGAAGCAGACCTACTACTGACCCTCAGCATCTCCTGGAGAAGTGGAATGGCATCTCTATTTCTAACCAGGAAGTCTTTTGAGCCTCTCTTCCTGCAGTCTGGTAGGGCTTCATATTTTCCTGGAGACTGTAAAGTTGTTTTGAGAAATTATATTACAAACTCAGTTTCAAAACAAGTTGCAAAGCTGCATGCTTTGTGACATAAAGAATTCACACTGTGGTGGTAAATGTGGTAGCTGCAGCAGCTTTGCCAGAACAAACAAACTTGGAGCAGCAGTGTGTGATGGAGAGAAAACACAGAACATGTATTTATTTCACCTATAGAATTCATGTTTATTTGAAAAGGGAATTACAGCAGAAAGTATACAGAAAACCTTACAGCACAACTAATTAAGTTACATGACTTATAAGCATAAATCCAGAAAAATAAGCATGGAAATATTTATTTGGAAAATAATGTTATTTTTAAACTATTCTCAGGAACTATTAATTATTCTTGGCACAGTCATAAGGCAATAGCCCTGAGCAAAGATTTACTAATACCGCCAAAAGGACTTGTGCTATGCATTGCTCCGCACAGGTTCAAATAATGGGCACAAAAGCTCTAGATCCAATAAAAGCATACTAAATCATAACATTGTGCTTTACTTGTTCTTAATAGTTTAGCAGCTCTCATTTAAATATAAACCAATATAAGCGAAATAATCCAAGGCACACATTGCATTTGGTTACAAAGTAAGTAGATAGAGAAGAAACAGTATTTTTCAAATCCAAACATACTCTGAAACGGAAATGCTTTTCCAGCAGAATATCTTACATACTGAATAAATGATTGCTAAAGAGTACCATGACTACAACCCAAAAATATTGAAAACAAGAAAGAACCACGAGCTGTTGATTCTTTGCATGTCCAAAGGAATTCACCTGAAAACAACATCCGCACATCTGGGTTGACCACCCTTTAAGCAGTTATTTATGTTCATATACACTGAGGAGTAAGCAGCAAAGGATAAAGAGCTATTCGTCCTCTAGCCCAGTAACTTTAGCGTAGTGGTTACGAGTTGGGCTGCCAACCTCAAGGTCAGCAGTTTGAAACTACTAGCAGTTCCGCGGGAGAAAGATGAGGCGTTCTGTTCCCATAAAGATTTTCAGCCTCGGAAACCCTGTGCAGGGTCCCTATGAGTCGGAACTGATGTGGTACTTAACAACAACAACAACAACAGTAACTTTATCAAGAGAGGAGAGACATCTCGGACTCAGGCCTCTACAAAAGGAAGGAGTACCCATTGTTTCTCAATTCTTTGCTTGATAAAATGAGGCCAAAAAGGCAGATCTTTCTAATTTTTTTTTTTATTATTATTAATGTAGAATGCATTGTATGGCTCTTTTGTATGCTTTTGTTAGTAGTACAAACAATGCAGAGAATTATTGGGAGAAGAGAGGATAACTAATACCTTAAAAAAAAAAAAAAAAAAAAAAACCCATCACCTAGGATGAAAGCATTAACCAATTTTGCATTTTTAGTTCACTTTCTGGATCTATAGCTGGAAAAATCTTACTTACAATCTAGCAACTTCTTTCGGGAGGAGCGCAAGAGTTCAAATGAATAGAGGTGAATACTGTTAACTGATGGTCCATAGGAGGGATTGCACTCATCATGAAGACACAAAGCGTATGATGTGTTGACTGTGGGACTAATGATCTGCTCTGTAAACCTTCACTTAATTCACAGTAAAAAGTTTACAAACCAAAACAATATAGTGACTTCTTGACACTATCTTAGCAGTTAATGTTGAAATCCAAACTGGCTTCCCCAGATTTTGGGGTCACATCTGAACAATTACTCTCAACTCTCCCATCTTCAGATAATGGTAATTTAGGGCATACAAGTTCAGACATTGGTAATTTAGGAGATACAAGTTTTGTTTTGGTTTATATAACTTTAGATCACCAGTTCTCAAATAACGACTGCAGATCTTCAAGTGTTCCTAAAACACTTTCAAAAGTCTTCAAAATCAAACATTAAAAAAAAAGTCTTCATAATCAAATCTATATTACAACATCATTTGTCATTAGCACTCAATCTTCCGACAAATGTACCAATGGAATTTTCTACAGGTTACTAGACATATGCTATCACCCCAGATTAAATGCAAAAACAGGTATAAGAATCCAAGGATCTTCTACTAAGATGTTATACAGATTTGCAAAAGAAATGTAAAATGTCCCTCTTCTCATGAATGCTTTTGTTTTGAAAAGGTAGTTTTCAAAATAAAAATGTTTTCTATGTTAAAATTAAAATGGGCTTATCACATGTTTTTTTTAATAATGTATAAAATCATTTTCTATTGCTCAGATTTAATAATATAATATGATTAATAGCAATAGATGTAAACCACATAAACTGAAGCTCTCTGGGGTTCTCAATAAATGTCTTCATTGTGTTTTACTGTGTTTGCAGTGAAATCTTACCCCGAAAATTGGATTCAGTGACATTAATTGGTTAGATATGGGGGTTCTTAATCATTTTAGGAGGTCTGGTAGCATAGTTGGTTATGAGTGGAGCTTGTAAACCTCAAGGAGAGCAGTTTGAATCTACCAGTCACTTCTCGGGAGAGAGATGAGGCTTTCTGCTCCTATAAAGATTTACAACCTCGGACACCCTACACAGGGTCACTATGAGTCGGAACGGACTCCACGGCACACGACCACCACCACCACAATCATTTTTAAGAATGTAAAGGACTCCTGGGATTAAAAAGTTAGAGAACTGCTGTTCTAGACAAATAACCTTGGGCAAATATTTTACCAGCTCTGAGCCTCAGTTTCCTCCTCTGTATATTGGCGGTAATAAAACTTGCCTTTTCTCACACTAACACTGTGAAAATTAAATATGAAATCATTTAGTAAACTATAAACTACCACAGAAGTACACATTATGATCATTGTGATACCAGAAGAATGCATATTTCTTTACTTTTTAAGGAAGGCTTTCCAGAGTCAACTCCTTCTAGCTTGGTGATTATCTGGGTTATGACTCCTTTGTGCCAACATTAACCCACTGCCATAGAGTCAACTCTGACTCATAGTGACCTATAGGTGACTCTATAGTGACCTACAGGGCAGAGAAGAAACCCTAGGGTTTCTGAGGCTGCAAATCTTGATAGGAGCAGAAACCCTCATCTTTCTCCCATGGAGTGGTTGGTGGATTAGAACTGCTGAATACATAACCCACTCCACTCAGCAGGGCTCCTTTTTGCCAACATCGTTGTTGCTGTTAAGTGCCGTCAAGTTGGTTCCGACTCACAGAGACCGTGTATAGGGTTTCCATGGAGCGGCTAGTGGGTTTGAATTGCCAACTTTGTGGTTTGCAGTCCAGTGCTGACCTTACAGCAGCACACTAGAAGTGCCAACATCATTGTTGTTGTTGTTAAGTGCAGTAGAGTCAGTTCCGACTCATAGTGATCCTGTCAGGGTTTCTGAGGAGTGACTGGTGAGCTTGAACCACCGACCTTGCGGTTCATGCCAACTTTGCAGTCCAGCGTATTAACCCGCGGTGCCACACCAGGACTCCTAACCCAAATTGCTGTTGTTGAGTGCCATCCAGTCGATTCTGACCCATAGTGAACCCTGTATAGGGTTTCTGAGGAGGAGTTGGTGAGCTTGAACCGCCAACCGTGCAGTTCAAACAGCTTTGCAGTGTGGGACATTAACCCACAGAGCCACAACCAGGACTCCTAACCCACATTGTTGTTGTTGTTGTTGTTAAGTGCCGTCAAGTCAATTGCAACCCATAGGGACCCTGTATAGGGTTTCCAGGGAGCCGCTGGTGAGCTTGAACCACCAACCTTGCAGTTCAAACGACTTTGCAGTCTGATGCATTAGCCCACCTACATTAGAGCCACCAAATTGAATCATTTCCTCTGGAAGGAACCAAGAGGAGGATTTGACTACAAAGGACCCTTCCCACTGCCTAAACTTCCCTTTGATAACCACTAGAGATCTATGGTACTATAGAGGTTATAAGTCACACTTCTAACATCAAGGTCAGCAATTGGAAACTACTCGCCATTCTGTGGGAGAACCAAGAGGCTTTCTACTCCAGTAAAGATTTACAGCCTCGGAAACCCTATGCAGGGTCACTATGAGTTGGAACTGACTCCTTGGCACACCACCACCACCAGAGAACTAGTACACTTCCAAAACAACACCTCCTTTTACCCTTGATCAACTTCTTTTATGGTTTACAGGGAAGCTCCTTATACTAACATGCTGAAATGTGGTATCATTAGTACATTTTGTTTGAGAACCCACTAAAATTGATTCCCCCAGAAGTTACTGAATAGCTGTTTTTAAAGGTGCGATTTTTAAAATTTCCTGTGTGTTCCATTCTGGAATCAAAATGTAATTTTTTTTTTTTTTAAGTTTATTTGCAGTTTCTTTGTGCTCAGATCAGATCCTACCTCACATGCCTAGATGGAGAAAACAGTGAAACTTGGTGCGATTCAGAGAGAGACTTGGAACAATTCATTATTTTTCTCATCAGTATCAATGTGGGCTTCATGCATAATGCAAACAAATTCTACTTCAAAGGAGAAGTCCTAATGGAATGATCATAATGAGACTTGTTTCAAACTCTTTGGTCATGAAACGGATCTGATGATCTCAAAGATATGGAGATGTTTAGTCATAGGTGCCCCCTGTTTCATCAGTACAACTGTCCCAAGGGTTTAAATTTTACCATGTTATTACTAACCATTTGGGACTTATCTTCTTCATGTTCTGCATGAGCAGAACAGAAAAATTCCCTTGACCATTCCTCAGGGCCCTCAGAGGTTTCTGTGGAGGGTGACACCTCGGTCCAAACTGTAAGGAAAGACAGGGAGAGTCAACGTTATGTAATGGTGCTGGTTTACCGCAAGGAGAAAAGTCAATGTACGTGTAATAATTAAGGCTGGAAGCTTCAATGGCCCAAATATAGTGCCAGTGGATTATTAACTGCAAGGGGAGCCATTCGAACCTTCCAGGCATTCTTCAGAAACCCTACACAGAGGCGCTGAGTCAGAAGTGACTTGATGGTACTCTACAACAACATAATTTAAAAAGGTAGAAAGATGAGGCTACCTGCTTCTGCAAAGATTCATAGCCTCAGAAACCCTCCTGCTCTGAGTCAAGCAAAAAGCAACAGAGCTTGGTAACATTGCTGGAGCAGGCCAGAGGCCAGGCCAAGGGGTTGAGGGCCAGAGAGAGGCCTGCCTGGGGCCCCCGCAGAGGAAACACTGTCCTGACAGGAAGAACTATGCCCTGAGCATTTCTGACCCTGAAGTGTAGCCTGCTAACTTCCCTAATAAACCTCACAACTGTGAAGATGGTGTCAAAGTTCTGTGTGGTCACTGTAATGAATCGTCAAACCCAGTTCAATAAATAGAGAGGGCTGTGGGAGGGATGGTTGGTGCTCATTTTGCAATACATTATATTCTAAGTTTATTTTAAAATAAGTGAAATACCATTTTGGAGACTACTTTCCCTTCTCACAGAAAATCCTTGCTTACAAAAATTCTTTCTTTTGCATTTTGGGGGTATTGCTCATACGGCACTTACTACATTCCGTCTTGCTTTGTAATTATTTTTTCATTGCTTTATGCTTCCCACTGGGCAGAGTCCATGTGTTGCACAGACATCCTCATAAGTCTCCTAAGACCTCTGGCCATAGGAGGTGCTTACTTTAAATTTATATAGGTGTATATGTAAATTAAGACACATTCAG